AACAACCCCCACCATGTTGAGAGGAGATTGCAGCAGGGGAATGCTATTGAATGTTAAAAGGAGTAATAGTCATTATACGCTGTCCTTTGGCAAGTAACATTTGCACCACCTATCAGTACTAGCCTGAAGTGATCCGGATAATCACCACGTATGTACGCAGCAGCTTTAGTACATGAAGCAGGGAAGAGGTTTGTTGGTAATTACACAAACAGCACTATTTGCTACTTTTGACCTAGGGGAGAATGCTTTGTAGAGAGGAGCGTATGGATTCAATAGGCTATATGACCTGCTTCCATAGTGTAGGCATTCTATGATAATAGAAAGCAACTGTTTTTAAGTACAGGAGATGTTCACGTATCAGGTCTTTTTAAAAAGTTAAAAGAGATGGCGTGGTTGGTTAGCTGTTCTACAGCTGTTTCATTACCCTGCTGGGTAATATCAGCAGTGCAACTTCCACTGAAGCGCTGTTGTGTTTTCCCTACCTGTATTTAAATTCTGGTGCCCTCATTTCTGGTTTTCCTTCGCAATAGTGTGTATATGGGGTCTAGCTTTGTGTTGATTGATGGCTTTATTAGTGGAATACCAGGCTTCTAGGAATTCTTGTGCTTGTCCCTGTTGTGCCGGTCCCAGGATCCTAGTATTGTCCCAATTGAATGGGTGGTTCTCCTTATCCACGTGGATGGAGATGAGTGAGTATTGGTCGTGTCTTTTTGTTGCTAATTGATGTTTGTGTACCCTTGTTGTTAGTTTCCTTCCTGATTGGCCAACGTAGTGTTTGTCACAGTCTTTTGCAAGGAATCTTGTATATGACATCGGTCCTGTCCATAGGGTAGTGGGTCTTTGGTCCAGGTGAGCAGTTGGCGTAGGGTTGATGTGGGTTTGTGTGTTCCTCTGATGCCCTGTAGTCATAGAAGTCTTGTCAGTTCAGATGTGTTCCTGATGTAAGGTAGCGTGATGTGTGGTGGGGCGTGTAGTATCTTCTTGGTGTCACGCGTGTGATAGGCATCTTCTGACCCAGTTTTTTTGGTATCTATTGTCCTTGAACACCTGGAAGAGGTATTCTTCTTCTTCATGACGTAGCTCTGTGCTACTGCCCGTTTAAATAATGTTCTCACGCAACCTCGTTTGTGTGTGTTAGGGTGGTTGCTGTTGAAATTCAGTACTTGGTCAGTGTGTGTGGCTTTCCTGTGTACTTTTGTTAGGAATTCCCCATAGGTCCTGCGTTCCACCAGGACATCCAGGAATGGGAGCTGTTTCTTCTTTTCTGGTGAATCTGATCCCGGTGAGGGTGTTGTTTATTAGTTCGTGTGTCTCCTCTAGTTTGGTTCATTTAATAACTGACGAAGGTGTCGTCCACGTAGCGTATCCATAGTTTTGGTTGGATTAGCGGAAGGGCCATACTTTGAAGTCTCTGCATCACTGCTTCAGCTATTAGTCAGAATACCAGGTGGGAAAACATAACAGCGCTTCATCAAAGGCTGCACTGACGATGTTACCCAGCAGGGTAATGAAAGCGGAACAATGAACCAGCTCAGCAAGCCAACCAACCACAACATCCACAACCCGTGCTACAAATCTATTCTAAAATCTTAAAAGATATGTATTGTGTTTGTAATTCATAAATTAGAGACCCATGTACATTGTTCTGGGCCTGGAACTGAACAAAGGCCAGACCAGTTAATGATGACAAATTTCCTTCTGTAAAAAGGAGTTAGGTATTTCTGACAATAGTTTCATCGTCACCATGATTAATTACTAATTTAATAAATTAATTCGAGTTTCACTGAAGTTCAAACCCCTGACCTCTGAGCATTTATAGATTGGGGCTCTGGATTACTCGTCTGTTGCCATTCCTTGGATGGCTGTAGAGTACCTTGAGAAGACTCTTATCTTGGAGCAAAAAAAAGGTTTCCTGCACAATAGCAATTAGTATAACTACAATCATGCATGATTACTAGGATCATAAACAGTTGGACAAGATGTACTTTAGCACTTGGGGGTAGCAGATATAAGTTGGTCTCTACCCATAGACATAGGTAGAAGCAGTAGAATGGGTGAAGCCAACATGACAAATGAACATTAACCTTTTCAGAACCATTACCTTTTGCAATTGTTTACTCTGTGGAAGTAACAGCTCAACATTTTTGAAAATAAAGAGAATGTGACAATTTCAAAATCCATTCATGCACGATTAAAACATTGGGTCGAGTAAACATGCAAAGTTGCATCTGTGGCTTGAAATTTGATGATGCCCACTTACGAACATAGAAGTTACTTCCAAATGTTTTTGATGCTTCACACAAATGTTAGCACACTAATTAATCCTCTGATTTTCATTAGAAAATACTGCATAGAAATTTCTATCGACTCTTTCAGTCCTGAATACTCCACAAAAGAAGACACTTGCACATTCAGACTATTTCAATAATTCTTTAATGTTGTGTTTTTTCAAACAGTTTGCACCTCACTATGGGGGTACATTTGCTCCCATCCTCGAAAGGTGGAACCTACTGGGCCTGTTTGGTCCAAGTCAGTAGGAGAACCGCTTACGGATCTAACTGGAACATGTTCTTAAAATTAGTGTATTGCATGTTAGCCGATAGTGGTGTTACATTGCGACTGTTACACAGACCATGAGGAAGACCTATTGTCTTATTTGACATCGTAAACTATCCACCCACATCATAGTGGGTAGTGCTCAAGTAGTATTAACCCCTTCAGGCCTTTTGCACACTATATGTGACACTTTCAAACTGCTAATCTCATGCAGCCTTCCAAAAGTGACAAGCTAATATACCACACAGTCATTCAGTCAGTCAGTCATACCTGTGGTCAGTTCAGAATTATCCATGACTCACTCACATACTCCATCCTGTTGTTATGAACATAAGAATTAGGAGCTGGAATAGGTAATTCAGCCCTTCCAGCCTGCTCTGATATCCGAGACAGTTGTGGTTGACCTCATCTCGGCCTCACTCCTCTTTCCTGCCTGAACTCCACAACCCTTTAACCAGTTACTAATTAAAAATCTGTATCTCCTCAAATTTATTCAAATGTCCCAGCACCCACTACACTCTGGGATAGTGAATTCCACAGATTCACAACCATTTGAGAGAGAAGTTAGTTCTCCTCAACCGTTTTAAATCTACTACCCATTATCCTAAAATTACAACCTTTCATTCTAGATTGCTGAGCAAAAATATCCCCCATCATTCTCCTCTCATTCCTCTAAACAGCACACTAAGACAAACACCTTATCTCTGGTATTATGGACCAAATCCCCTTCAAATATCAAGGAGATAGTCTAGACTTTAAACTTGTATCATTTTAAAGGCAGGTGTCAGGCACTGTTTTCCAGATGTAATTTGGTTAGTCACATTACCAGACTTTAAGCAAAACACACTTTATTCTTCCAACAGTTAAAATACAAACAAACAAAAAAAGAATTGGAATAACTAACTCTATTAGAAAGCTTTATTTATTTATTTATGGATTATTTAACTACTAACGAGCAACTGTTCCAATACAGTAAAATCCCATAAACACACCCTTGGTGAAGGCAAATTCAGTAAAATATATTGCATGTGATAATGTTCTTTCCTCCTGGACAGGAGAAACATCAAGAGGAAAATGAATCTGGCAGAGAGCGAGATTCAAACTTTAAACTGTAGTGAGAGAATGACATGGCAGCCTCCACAACCAACTTCAAAAATAAAGTTAAAGTTAATCTAAAACCCTATTTCTGCAGGAGCCCAAGTCCACTGATTCATGCTGCTTCTATTGTTCTCACTTTAAAAAAAAAATGCTAGGTCCTCACAAGCTGTTTACCTTATTGGAACAGAAGCTGGTCACCTCTCTGTCTCAACCTCTTCATTAAAAAAGCAAAAAAACACACACACACACACACACACACACACACACACAAAAAAAAAAAACCAGGACCACCAACACTCAAAAAGTTTGACACCATCCAGGACAAAGCAGCCTGCTTGATTGGTGTTATATCCACAAACATCCACTCCCTCCACCACTGCCGCTCAGTAGCGGCAGTGTGTACTACCTACAAGATGCTCTGCAGAAATTCAAAGATCATTAGACAGCACCTTCTAAACCCACGACCACTTCCATCAAGGACAAGGGTAGCAGACATATGGTAACACCACTACCTCAGGTACCCCTCCAAGTCACTCACCATCCTGACTTGGAAATCTCTCCAATTTTGTTCACTGGCGCTGGGTCAAAATGCTGGAATTCCCTCCCTAATGGCATTTTGGATCAATCCACAGCAGTTGGACTGCAGCGGTTCAACAAGTCAGCTCATACCACCTTCAAGGTGAACTAGGGATGGGCAAGAAATGCTGGCCAGCCAGCGATGCCCACATCCCACAAATGAATAGAAAAAAATACAACTCTTAAAGCCAAAGTGTCATCACAGAAATTAATCGAGGGAACCTCTTCTGAACTGCCTCCAGTACAACTACACCTCTCCTCAATTAAGGGGACCAAAATAAGTTGCACACAATAATCCAATGCAGTCTTGGAACTATTTCTCCATATATGGAGACCAAAGGCAATGCTAAACAGAAATTGCATCCCTTGAGATACAGACTCAAAAATATCAGTGATCAGTCATCTGAAGATAATCACGTGGCAAATTTGTACAATGTTTCTAGTGGTCAAATCCATAGCACAAAATTCAGTACAAAAGCCAAGTTTTATTCGGGCAAGTCACAAAAGGTACGACTTGGGGTAAAAGAAAAATACAGGTGTATATTACTTGCTGTAGAGGTTAACAAATTGTTCTAAATAGATGTCTTAAAGCGTATTTAGCAGATTGTTTATTTAGACAAATCCTGAATAATACTAAAATGGATAATTTTGTAGTGTTTTAAACCTTGACTTTGGCCAAAGCCCTCAAATCAATATTCTATATATCCATTAAGGAGATGAACTCATTGAAAATTATTCCCTGTTAAACAAATGGCTACTGTTTTTGTTACCTTCAATCTTCTCAGACAGCCCGTGTAAACTGAGAGAGAGTTGGGAATAATCAGAATCCTCTTGAAAAATCCCGCTATCAGATCGAGAACAGCGATGTACCAATGGCCCAGTTTTTTCTTGCCAATCTATCAGTGGTCGCTGTTCATTGCCTTCTTCCATTGCTTGTGTTAAACAGGTGCAGCATGGGCTAAACTTCTCCATTAGATACCGCTTTAAACAGATGTCAAAGCACAGAACCACGATGTACAATGTATAGATCAAAAGCAACAAAGCAGCCTCATACCTAAAAAAAAAAAAACAGGCAATTCAAAAATAGACTGAATTAGTCACGTAGTGGTCATTACATTACATTCTTTTGAAATGGTTAGGTCAACCCATGATAGGAGCAAGTTACTGCAGATACTGGAATCTGTACTAAAAAAAATGCTGGCAATCACAGTGAGTCAGGCAATATCTGTGGCTCTCTCCACAGATGCTGCCTAACTCACTAGGATTTCCAGCATTTTTGGGCTTTCAGTCCAGCATTTTATTACTGCAGGGACAAGTAATGCGATCACATGCAAACAAGCAAGCAGAAGAACAGAGTTTAAGTTTTACTTTTCAGAAAGAAAGAGGGTAGAGTAGCAGATTTTCTTTCTATGCAAGAGTTAAGAGAAATGTTAACAATGGATTTCATTAAATCCTGGGTCTCCTGTAATTATATTGACAATAGAGCAAGAGTTCAAGGTAGAGTTCTAGGCTCATTTCAGAATCACAAGTCAATTGTGTCTTGTGGCATAGATTCACTCCTGGCTAAGTTGTGAGGGTAGGTGGGAGAATACTTACCTAATATTGAAAGCAACTTACCCATTTAAAACCACAATTCTGTGTTGAAATCCTTTAGTTTTTGCTCTAAGCAAGCCAACAGTTGGTGACTCGTAACATTTATGGAACAGACAGGTCCATGAGTTTAGGTAGCAACATCAATTCTGCCCAGCAATACAGGAGATACTTCTTGCCAAGTTTTCAATAGGTCATTCAGAACAGTTTGGGATCACTGAAGAGGTGATCTTGAATTGCCTTGATGAATTCAAGACAAAAAGCTTTGACAAAAGCACTTCAAGTTCTATAAAAGGATGTGGTACATGGATACTTGGATAATAATGACCTGATTGGATATAACCAGCTTGGATCTGCAATGTTTTTTGAGGATGTTAACAAAATTGACAAAACAAAAATCAAGAGAGCAGCTTGATGGACTTAGTACACTAGGGTTCTCAGAAGGCTTTGGGTTCCCCAGGGAGGTTGGTAAGCAAAAATAAAGCACGTGGGACAAGGTGTAACGTACTAGCAATGATTAATCATTGGCTAGCAGACAAATTGAATAGCAATAAAATAGGTCATTCTTGCCTAAGCACGCTCTGACTAGTGTTTTGTTTTAAAACCTTTGACCCAGTTTTCTAATCAACCTGTTGAGATTTATTATGCACCACTGGAGCAGGTAGGACATGAACCCAGGCCTCCTGGTCCAGGGTGGGTCACTACCATTGTGGCACAAGAGGGCCCCTAATTGCGAGAATCAGTACTTGGCCCTCAAACATTCATAACCTACAATGATTTGGATGTGGGGACCAAGTATCTGTGATATAAAGCTAAGTGTGAATGTTCTTTAAAGATGATGTAAAGAGGTTTCAGGAGGATTTGGACAGGCTTAGGTGAGTGAGCAAGAACATAGTAGAGGGAATTTAATGTGGGGGGGAAAATGAGTGTGTCCATTTTGGTAGGAAGTACAGTTGTGCGGAATATTTCTTAAGTAGTAAAAGGGACAGATATCATCAATAAATCACAGATGTCTAACACGCAAGAGCAGCAAAATATTAGGAAAGCTAAGTGAACATTAGCCTTTAATCACAAGAGGATTTGAATACAAGAGTATTCAAGTCTTGCATCAACTGTACAGAGGCTTGGTTCAACCACACCTGGAGCACTGTATGCAGTTTTGGTCCTCTTGCCTCAGCAAGGATATCACTACCTTACAGTGTAACAAATGTTCACCAGGCTTGTTCTAGGATGGCAGGACTATTTGACAGAGACTGGGCAAATTGGAACTGAATGTTGTGATTTTGAAGAACAAATGGCAATCTTCTTGTAATCTACAAGATAGTTAAAAGAATTGACAGGAGAGATACAGGCAAGATGTTTCCTCTGTCAGGGAGTAAAGGACCAGCAGACACACAAACAAGGAGCAAGAGTAGGCCACTCAAGACCACTCTACCTTTCAATAGATGACACTTAAGAGAAAGGCAAGGAGATTTTTTGGTTTTGAATCTCAGGAATTCTCTACCCTGGGAGCCGTGAACGGTCAGCTTTTGAACCTATGTAAGGTACACTCAATAGTATAAAGGGTTATGTGAAGAAGTGTGGGTAAAAGGCAGTGTTCAATAGGCCATGATTTTATGAAATGGGGAGGAGGCACAACAGGCTGATTGGCCTACTCATATTCCTATGTTTCTATCAATTAGGAATTTGGCATCCAGTATTACCCAAAAACCCTTTCCATGTAGACCAGTTAAAATGCAGATTAAAGCTCCTTCCATACAGTCCCAGGTTTTAATCCAGCACTGAATCTTTCACTTTTCCACAATCAATCATCTGGTGAATGCCGAGTGAATATAATAGCACGTGGCCACAAGGATGAAACCACCCTAACCTTATTTTACAAGGATCCAGAGAACTTCTGACTGTCACTCTATTATACAGAAATATAAAACGAGGTTCTAGGATGTAAATGATTTACAACCCACTGTTTTGGATTTGGTGGCGCAGACATGAAGTTATTTTCTTTTAAAGTTTCAATAGCTGGCTGAAGTAACATTAGATTAAATGGAATGGCTTGAAGTGTAGCACAGCCTTGAAAAATATACACTGGGGGATTTTGATATATGAACACCTTCATGATCCCTCTGATGAAGCAACTACAGCTTTGAGTGAAAGGATTTAATATTCTGCATTAGCCAACAGAGTGCGAATTGAGAATTCCAGGGGCAAACCTCCCTCCTTATAGAATTGTGCAGCGAGTAAACCAAAACTATAGTTTGGAGATCTTTCTGGAGCATACAGTTGGTTTCACAGCTATTCACTCAATTAGGTGAGGAAATGTTGGCTTTTTAAAAAAAAAAACTGTTAATAATAGACACATTTCTTACCAGTAGATTGCATTGTCAAAGATAACAAGAACTAGTGCTGCAACACTGATCGCATAAGCTGCGCAATCTCTGAACACTGGCCAGCAAGTCAAGTCACAAACCTGGAAAAGATGTTTTAAGATTCTCGTGATCAGAATTCAACCATTTTTCAGCCGTGAAAGCCATTTTTCAGTACATGACATTTAACAATATAATTTCTAAATTACTAAGAGGAATTTCATACTACAAATACAGTTCCAATCTAGAATACTTCACCAATCCAGACTTGACCATCATGCGTTACAAGAATTCTTATGAAATTGGACTTTGCTTCAATAAATTCTATAAATTGAGTTAAAACAAATTTGAACTGGTTAGATTTGACTCAGTGCAGGAATAGCTAAGCATTTCTAAGAAAAAAATGCAAAGGTCACAATTACCAAACCAAGATATTGGTGTGACCTTTTCTCACCTGTTAAATCACGTCAGCACTGATATTTTCTTTACGTACCATGGTAGTTAACAATCCACATGCAGCACAGATACCAAGCAAATTGTAAACCGCTGACCCAACTATGGTACTGACTCCAATATCTCCCTTTGTCACAAACACTCCTGTGTACAAAAGAGATCAGAAAAAAAAAATTCTGGTACCAAGATACCTAAAAATACAGTTAAACAATGAACTCTGCATGTCTTTAAAAAAGGTTCCCATGAGAGTCTAAAGTAATAGAAGTTTTATAGAGTTAAAATGCAAATATTCAATATTGTTTTGAAGGATACACTTCAACTCAGAAATTCATAAATGCAGAAAATATGTATTTGCACGTTGTGTGATTATAAACCAGCACAGATCATTTCTTGAAATATTTAGGTATTTTTAAGTTATGTGATCAAAACATTTTAAGGCATTTCCTCAACTCTTCATGGAAAATTTTAACAGCAATTTTATTACTTGACATTTAGATTAAGCAAAGATGCTGAATTCAAGCCTATACATATGCAAGTGATCACCAAATATTAAATGGAATGTGCTGTGTACTTGTATTACCTGTGTGTGTTAGGGCTCTTGGTGATGTCCCTATCTCTGGTCCAAGAGACCAAAGTTCAATTCCCACCTGCTCCAGAGGTGGGTAATAACATCCGAGTCAGATTAGTCAGAAAACATCTACCCCAATGCATTTTAAAAGAAAAAGGAAGATTTCAGACGTTACCTAGAAAAGCAGTGACCAGTTCAGGCGCAGAACTTCCCGCGGCCATAAATGTTGCTCCAGCAACATTTTGAGAGAGACCAAGACCTAACAACCAATTACAAATACTATTATTCCAACACTGAAACTCCCTGAATGAATTAAGTATGCACTTAGTGAAGTCAGCTAGAAATGTAACAACTTATCAGAATGCTCGAGCAATTCAGCAGACCTGCACTTCCTTTCAAACTTGGCTTCAGACTGTAGTGGAATTGTGTGTACCATAGGATAACAAGCCCGAGTCATGAGAGATGGTCACCCTGTAGGGTCTCACATGGTTCACCTCTAATGCATATCAGGGCAAGATAACAGAGCTGTGCAGTTATACTGTACTACCACTGAGCCATTTACAACACGAACTTTAAAAGCTATTTGTGACTGTGCCCATTATGGGGCCTGGCACAATGTATTTCCCAGGGAGAGAAGCAAACTGAAGTTAATGCATTTTCTTAGAGATCAGGTGTTCAAACAGCCTAAAGAAAACTCGACTCAGGAGAGATTGCTCCATTGCAGTTTTGAGTTGAGTTTTCAAGTCAAACGTACAATGATTTCTTTCTTCATTAAAACGTAAAGTTTATTTCCTGAAGTCAAGAATAAAATGTGCACTACACAATAAAATTAAAGAAAAGATTTTAAAACCATTTAATGACAAAATAATGAAATTAAAAACCTATGAAAAATGTAGAATGCACACATTAATTTGAAATGAGACATTGATGTTTATTATTTTTAAAATGTGATCCTAAATGCACATAACTTCAGAGTGAGGAATGATCAACAATTCTTAATACCTTGGGGAAAGTTTTAAAACTCCAAAGTGCTTCATAGGAGCTTGGTGAAACAAAATTATGACTTCAACTCAGATGACAAAAATTGGGTTTTAAAAAGTGTCTTCAATGAGGAAAGTGAGGTAGAGGGGAAAATAAAACCACAGTAGGGAGTTTCACAGAGTTCGTGGCCTAGACGATATAAAGGCAGATCCATTGGGGCTCTTATGGCACAGTGGTGACATCCCTACTCCTGGGCAAGAGGCTTAGGTTCAAGTCCCACTGCTCCAGAGATGTGCAACAACATTGCTGGATGTGTTTATTAGCAAACTGCGAGAAGGCACAGACATAAATGGTGAAGAGATTAAATTTAGGGATGTTGAAGAGGTCTAAATTAGAGCTCCCTCAGTGATTGTGGACTGGAAATTTCAGAGATAAATGGGGCAAGACCCTGAAGCAATTTCAAAACAAGGATCAGTGTCAGTGTGTCAGCTGTGTTTAGTTAGTAGTACCCATGCCTACCAAGCACAAGGTCTCAGTTCAAGTCCCACACTAGGGCTTGAGCACATTAAACTAGGGCTGACTCATGAGCTCGCGCAGCATTGCAGAAACGTCCACCTTTCAAATGAGGAGACACATTAAACTTGGGTCCCATCTGCCTGTTCTGGTGCACACAAAGGGTCCGTGGCAATATTTCCAAGAGTAGGGGTTTGGCCAGAACACCAGGGATCTCTCTCAACTGGTGTCAGCAAAAAAAAAACCAACTACATTATCACTTGTTAACCACATTTATAAGATGTTGGCAGAATACAAACGTTAGTCCACGACGCGCCCAAAACTGAAGCAGATTTAAAAAAAGATAGTTCTGAAGAAGAGAAAGTTACGCTAGACTTAAACATTAACTTGCTAACTTTTCACAGATGGTGCCACACCTGCTAAGTTTTACCAGCATTCTGCCGGTTTCAAAAATTAGGCACTCGTTTCCTAGGAGTTTGAGAGTCAACGAGAAGAACAAAAGGTTAATGAGACTGCGAGTTAAGGCACGGAGAGGGTTTGGATAAATCAAGTCCAACTGTAAAACGTTGAGATACCAGTTAGGAGCACATTGGAATAATCGAGTCCAGAGATAAGGAAGGCATAACTTAGGTTTTTTAGCAGCAAAGTAACTGAGCCAAGGACAAAGGTCCTTGAAGATAGGCACCACTGGCAGGGACATTATTTCAGGGTCAAGAGTGAACTAACGCTTAAGACTGGTTTTATAGTCATTGTTGCCAGGGATGATGGAAATCGGTACCCAGGGAACAGAGTTTAGATGAGGACCAAATGCAACGGTTTCTATCTTTAATATTTAGTTGGGAATAATTCTGTTCAAACTTGCTCCTTGACACATCATTCAAATCCATTTGCAAAGTATGTGCTATTATATTAGAAGTAAAACAAAAAATGCTGTTATCAAAATTTGCAAAGGACATGGGGCAGCAAAGATGGCTCAGCGGTTAGCGCTGCTGCCTCACAGGGACCCGGGTTCGATTCCAGCGTCGGGCATACTCCACGTGTCTGCGTGGGTTTCCTCCAGGTGCTCCGGTTTCCTCCCACAATCCAAAGATTGTGCAGCTTAGGTAGACTGGCCATGCTAAAAATCACTCCATAGTATCTAGGGTAGGAAATGCCGGGATAGGGTTGGAAGCTCTTCGGAGGGTCGGAGTGGACTCAGTGGGCCAAATGGTCTGTGGGCTTTCTATGATTTTATGGTCTGTATTCTCCACTTTTTTGGTAATACAAACTAGGCTGATTTGAAAATTCTGTAGATTTTCACTCTTGCTTTGTCCAAAAAAAGTCTTCAATGATACTTTAAGTAGTAATTTCAAAGTAGTACACCTCCTATGCTGCTACTGTACAAATAGGAAGAAGTGGAGGCAAGTACAGTGGGATCAAAGAGTTGGGATGTGTTGGAATGTGAATTGCACATTTAAACAGTGTTTTTACGTAATGCAGAACTTAATACAGAAGTCAAATGAAAGTTAGGTAGCAGAAAAAAGTCAGAATGAAAGCATTTCAGTTTACAAAAAAAAGTTGCAGCACAATGACTTATCAAAGTGGTGCTAAATCGAGCCAACGTCCCTTAGGGACAGAAATCTGACCTTGTTAGGACTCCAACCCACAGCAATGTGGCCGATTCTGAACTGTCTTCCAGACAATTACAGGTGGGTGATAAATTCTGGCCTAGCCAATGCCACATACATCCAAGAAAAAACAAAACTGTGTAAAATTTTGAAAAATAAAAATGAAAGTAGGAATTGTTAACTTTTCTTATAAGTATGATAATACCTAGCAAAACGTCATCGTCTCAATTGTGCAAATGCAAGATTATATCCAAACTAGCATTAAAACTTACATTCACTGACGACTTCCAGAGAAGGTAGGAAATATTCTTCACACACTATATCTATAGCCAACAACATGTAGAGGATAATGATAAAATGAATGATGATCCCTCCCGCCTTCCTTTCTTCCAGCGTAAAAAATCCTTCAGGAAATTCGGATGAAGGAGCCTGTACACATTTGGTTACATTATCCGCTTAAAAAGTGAGAGAGGAGGGAAAAAAAGTGCTTTCGAGTTAGGATATAAAAACACAAATAGCACCCTCCACCCCCCCACTACACACACACACACACACACACATCAGACATACAACTTACTGATCATGATTATTAACAGAGACACGAATTTCTTAAACCACCAGCCTGACAACTGAGGACAGCATCCCCTTTAAATAATCCACTTTGATTTTAACAGAAAATCAAATACCCGATGTATCTCGACGAGCTCTCACAGCAGCACGCAAGCTAGAGGAGGCAACTTCGTGGAGAAGATGGGCTATTCCATACAGAACCGCACTAACCCCCACCACAAGGAAAATCACATCTGCTCTCCTTTTCTTGGCTCTCAGAGCTACTGTAGTCCTCATGGCTCTTGATAAATCCCCAAAATGTTTTTTTTTGTTAAACGGTACTGTACATTCCTAAGAAGCTCTCATTTGCTGGTAAATCGTCAGAACGTTTCAGTTTTAACTTACAACCACGGGCATGTATTAAAACGTTCATGCCGCCTGGCTATGTCTGGGTGAGAGCTCAGATGACTGGGATCACGGGTTATCAAAGGCAAGAGGCTTTCCCCGTGAGGGCCAATTAACTTCTCGATCAGGGAGAAAGCAGCCTCGTCAGGCGGAGGGAATGGCTCCTGAAGGGTTGAGTGTATCAGATGGTGTACTGTGTTGTAGGTATTCTTTTATAACTTTAACCAGATAGAATATCAGGGTGTAGCAAAATCAATGTTTATTATGTTTATTAGTCAATAGGTTAAAAATTGGAATGGAAATACATTTTAGATGCTTTTCCAAAAACCTGTTACCGCAGCATTTTTGGATAATTTGCTTTTTCACGACTATTTTCTCGTGACTACGAAAATAATGGGGCTTTCACGTTCAAACCATCCTATGCGTGTTTTAAATCCCTCTACTGAAGGAGTTGGCTTATTACTGATTTCTTTCATTATCTACTTCATCAGAGAAAGTTGCATAGTATCTGGTGGAGGGACGCTCTCTGTTTGCAGAGGGAGCCCAGTTTCTCTCACACCCCTTTTTCTCTCTCTCTCACGTTCACACACTCCACCCTCCACCCTCTACCATTACTTTGCAGATGGTTAAACACGGGAAAATATATTTCAGCAGGGAATATTTGTGCCCTATGCCTGTTTTGTCGCAGGTAATTTCAGAAGGAGGGGGAGGGGTTGAGAAAAGAGTCGTATCATTACAAGACTGTGATATTTTGAACTTTTGATGTAGTGATGATACTGTGGCTTTAAGCGCTGTATAATCTGGTGGTTTGACAAGTCGAATTGCATCTGGAACACAATACCTTCCACTTGGACTTTTAAAATAAGAAAAAGTTAGGGTCTAGGCTATCTTAATAAATTGTAAGGGGGTTTGGTCTGGCCCCTAACAATGTGTATCATTTAACATGTCTTAACGTAGGTTATGAGTAGATGCCTTCATTGATCTTATTCCCACATTTCATGTTTTTAACACACTGTAGACAACAGAAAATCATCATGCAAAAGCCACAGGCCAAATGGTTTACAGCTTGTGATAGTTTAGGCTTTTAATAGTATTGTTAGAAACCACATGCGTAAGTCATGCCCAATGTGATGTTGGTAGACTAAGGTTATTCAGATCTAACAATGACCTTGCTTTATAGTATAGCACAATAATGTGTTTATTCAAAGTGGAGTATGCAAGTGCATTAGTAATGGTATTGAACTAGCAATCTTGGTTTCATGAGTATACAGTAAATTCCACCATCATGTTGCAGAATTGGAAAGTCTGAATCTAGTAAGTTAAGTACCTATCAGTTTTCTTTTTAACAAAAGTGAACTCTTTTGAATTATTATTTAAAAAGCCAACAGATTCAGGAGTTACTGCCACACTTAATTAACATATGTATTTTTGTGGATGAGACAAAAGTAGAATGAGAAGGCAAGTGATGGGGATATCAGTCTGTGCAGGTATGTAGATAGGTTAAGCAAATGGGCAAAGCTTGGTAGAGGGAATATAATGAGGGACAATCTGAGGCTTTACACTTTGGCAGGAAGAATAGAGAAGTTGATTATTATTTAAATAGAGGAAGACCGGAAAAGCTACAGAAAAGAGGAATTTGAGAGTCCTCTTCCATGAATCACAAAAAGCTGGCATCCAAATACAGCAGGTAATAATAGGAAAGGCAAATGGGATGTTAGCCTTTATTTCATAGGGAGTGGAATATATAAGTAGGGGAGTTTTGCTAAAACTAAGGAAGGCACTAGTTAGGCCACCGCTAGAATGTTGTGAACAGTTTTGGTTCTCTTATGTAACAAAAGATAACTGGTATTGGAGCCAGTCCAGAGAAGTTTCACTAGGTTGATACCAGCAATGGAGGCACTGTCTATTAGAATCATAGAGTCATAGCCCAGATTGGTCCCTGCTGACCTTGGTGCCCCCTCAGCTAGTTCGCATTGCCTGCATTTAGTCCATATCCCTCTAAACCCTTCCCATCCATGTACCTATCCAAATGTTTTTTAAATGTTGCTATTGTACCTGCCTCAACTACTTTCTCTGGCAGCCCATTACATATGGGTATTGAATGTTAGAACTGAAGTGACTTTTGTATTGAGGACATTAGTAACATTTTCATTTCTAAACATATTGTTTGCACTGCCTATTATCTGTTGTGTTCAGTAATTTGTCCACTGATTTGTGGCCTAAGGAGGAATGTGACGGAACATATATATTTCTATTGAAGACAAACTTGACCACATGAGAGCATGTATAAACTGGAGTGTACTATTGCAGGTAGTGTCCTGTGTTATGATCTATTAATCTCTATGATGGCTACTCTTATGCTCACAAGGGCGTTGACCAGTCAAAACAGAATCAGTTACACCATAAAATGCAATAACACAAATTCTTTATTCAAGGATGGTTCAACCATGAACAGACTGCTGTACACTGTACAGGCCTTTTCATTGAGTTGCCAGCACGTACATCACATGGTATGTTATATGATTACCCTTACACTATTGTACATTGAAAACACACGACACCTCATCTTTAAGTATATTCCAACTTGCTGGGCCTTGCTACATTCAGCTAGATAATGGGGTCTGGTCAGTGCGTGATTTTGTTCATTTGGGCATGTGGTTCCTTTTTGGAATAGTCAATGTTTCTGAACCTAAGGCAATATAAAATACAAATCTCCAAAGGTTTAGCAGCAGTTTATGGGTTTCACTTTCAGATGTATGCCACCAATATCTAGTTTTGTCTTGCTGTTCCCCCTCACTGTGAATACACTCTGTGAATACACTTTGCTATCTCTGAGTGCTGCAGGGCTCAAGGTTATTATAAAGATACAGAACGGCCAGGACTTGAAAACAAGAATGTGAATTTTAAAATTGAAGCCTTAATTGGAAAACAGTGTAGGTCAGTGAACACAAGTGTAATGGGGGAATGGGATTTGGTACAAGATAGACAGCAGAAGTTTTGATAACTTTAAGATTACAGAAGGTAGAATGTAGGACGTGCAATAGAATGATCAAGGTACAAAGGTATAGATGAAGGTTTCAGTACAGGAGAGTTGAGGCTGGAGCAGAATCGGGTGTTACTGTGGAGATTGTTACAAAGTTCATAAAATCATAGATTGCCTACAGTTTGGAAACAGGCCATTCAGCCCGACAAGTCCACATCGCCCCTCTAAAGAGCATCTCACCCATCCCCCTACACTTTCCCCGTAACCCTGTATTTCCCATGGCTAATCCACCTAACTTACACACCCCTAGACACTATGGACAATTTAGCACGGCCAAAACACCTAACCTGCACATCTTTGGACTGTGGGGGGGAAACCAGAGTGCCCAGCAGAAACCCATGCAGACATGGGGAGAATGTGCAAACTCCACACACAGTCGCCCAAGGGTGGAATCAAACCTGGGTCCCTGGCGCTATGAGGCAGCAGTGTTAACCATTGAGCCACTGTTGTGTAGACTAATTGTGAATTGGAAGGCAGGAAGCTAGAATTTGTTTGTAAAAATTAGATGGGGAGGAGTGCGTGTCTCCTTTTTAGGAGGTAAAGTGCTTTTCAAAGCTTAGAGGTTTGTACAGAAAATGTGTCTAAGCAGCTAAAAGGGGTATAGCCAGTTCTGAAACTGAAATGCGTATCGATTGGTTGTGTGTTTTGATGCTTTGGCAACGAGCTGGAATCAGGCAATTAATTTAAACCAAGCACTTAGTAATAGAAAGCCAATTGAATTTATGTTTGATGGCTTTGACAACCTCGGACCAATGAAAATTGGTATGTCATCCAAGGAGAGGGTTTCTGAAAATCGGTCTGAGAAGGAACTGCCACCTGAGAAATAAGCATTTAGCTCACAAGAAATCGCTAAGCTCTCTAAGAAAGCACCTTCTATCCACAAAAGGTACCACAGCACTTCTAGCTAAGAGTCCTCATAGAAGACTTCATGGAGAAAACATCCCTGACAGCCAGATCAGTGGGAGAAAGGTGTTTATGACTTGAGAACAGCAGAAGAAAGGTGTGTAGACTTTGAGACACTAATTTTTAATTTATTTTCTTATTACTTGGGTTTATATAAGTGGGACTTTTGTTTACTGTGATAGCATACCAGTAGAATTTAGTTCAGTTGGGGAATAGTTAGTAGTTAAGGGGGAATTGTTTGGTTTGTTAGTGGTGGTTGTGATGGATAGGGTCTTTGGCTGTGTCTCGAAGTTACGATCGAAGCTGCAAAGGCCTTCGCTTCTGAACAGTACCCTTCCTATTGAAGGACCCTTATCAAGACTATTTGCTCATTTCGAAAGTAAGCAAATGTTTTGGTGCACGTTATAATTCTGAGGCTACCTACTTCAGAAGTGGTATTCCTTCTGGGAAGCGATCTGATTGTTTGAGTATTATTTCTTGACACCAAGTTACTTGGCAACGTAAGGAGTTGTTTTTGTTTAAAATCTGCGCCCCATCAGCAGTTCTGATGGGTTCAGCCCTGGGGAGTGCAGAGTGAAGGTGTGGGTGATCAGAGCAGGAAGAAAATCTGGAACTTCTCTAGATGTTTCATTGTCTGAGCCACTCATTCTACCTCTGCATTGGACTGAGGGATTCTAGGCAAACTGGCGACATGTTGACTGCCTATTGTCTTTGTAAGTGTTCCAAACATCTCAATGAACTGTGGGTGATTGTCAGAAATAACAATATCTGGAATACTTTTGGTGGCGAGTATCTCGTTTTTGGCTCTTCAACCACTTTGGTGGTCACTGATGTCAGTTTGTTCACTTTGAACCACCTTGAGTAGGAATCAACTACGATGAGAAAAGAATGATCATCATTGACAAACAGATCTGTGCCCAAATGGGCCCAGGACTTAGCAGACATTTCTGTAGGTTAAGAAATTCCCATTGTAGGAATAAATTACAGCAGATGCTGGAATCTGCATTGAAAACAACAAATTGCTGGAGATCCCAGTGGTCAGGCGGCATCCATGGAGAGAGAGCAAGCTTGTGTTTTGAGCCTAGATGGCTCACCTGATGAAGAGTCATCTAGACTGGAAACGTTAGCTTGCTCTCTGTTCACGCATGCTGCCTGACCTGCTGTGATCTCCAGCAATTTTTATTTTCAGTCAAGAGATTCCTGTTGTTCTTTAGTGAGCAAAGTACGTAGCCTTTATTCAACAACTAGGTAGTT